GGAGAAATAAGATTTAATAAAAGGTTTGATTTATTTAAGATGGTTAATGAGGATTGAACTGGTGGAAGAAGTGGATTATATATAACGCATATGGAAGTTGATTTATGATACCATAATACTATTGAGAAGCCATTTTAGGTCATTAACATGCATTAAAGTTTGACTATACCTAGGTTTTTTCCTATCCAAATATAGACAAGAGAGATAATTAAGTACTAAGATTTTTGTGTTTCGTCAAAAAAAGTACTAAGATTTTTGTGTAGACATTACCTTTAATTAAGCATGACTTTTCTGGGTAACTCTCACTTTTTAATGGGACGTAATTAACCTGTAGTTGACAAGCTCAAGTTAGGTGCCAATGAGTAAAGTAAGTTTGAGGGTTAAATTGTGGAAGAGAACTAGGTTGAGGGACTACTTATAAGACATCATTTCACATTGAATATTGTGTTTACCATTCAAACTATATTAAATTATAATATATCAATGAAAGACCCCACTACTCACTACTATTAAATCTTTTTTGAAAAAAGTGTTTTACATATTATTTTTTAAACTTATTTTAAAGAGTTTACCTAAAATTTTATATTTTTATTAATATTTTAAAAAATCAATCAGTGATCAAAAACTTTATTTTTATATATTACACATGTTAATTTTTAAATTAATTTAATAGATTTAATCAATTCATTAATTATATAAAATTTAATATCTTTAAATGTCTATCAATAAATAAATTTTTTTTATCAAAAAAAAACTATAAATATTAAATCAATATAAAGCTAATTTATATAACGTACATAAATTAAATTTTTAATCCAGCCACTAATTTTTAACTAAAAGGTGTGTTGTTAGACAAATCTTTCCAAAAAAAAATTAAAGAATAATTTATAATACACTAACCTTAATCTAACAATAAAAAAATAAAATATAGTTTATATTATATTAAATTACATTATATCAATTATTAAATATAAATAAACTTCTTAATATTAAAAAAATTATTTAACAATTTTACTTTACAATTTAATATAATTTAAATAATAAAATAAACTTCTCTTATAACCATTTGTGTTTTATAACATGGGAGAGTTTTTCTCTATTCTTTTTTTTCAAACGTGAGAAATTATAAGAAAAAAAAAAGAGAAATTTTCAAATAGTTAATAAATATTAAATTTTTAATTAATTAAATCCAAACATTAAAAATTAAAAGCAAATCATTTATTCAAACTTCGATTCTCATAACATGGGAGAGTTGAGATTAAAGAAACACTTTTATTTAAGGCAAATTTTTTCTTTTTTTTTTTTTTTTTTTCTTGGAGGCAAGAGGTGGCAGTGGAGGTGCAGACATGAAAGACATGGTTTTGGAAGTACACAATTGATGTGCACGTGAAATGAGTACAGTACCTTGTCCTCATGTCTCCCGCTTTTAAATCCTGTGTCTGCCGCAAATCTCGAGACTCATCCAACGGTGATCCTCTTACCTAGTTGACTTCACTTTTTCTCCATTCTTCTTCCCGCTATTTCCACACCCCATCTATCTCTACTCTCTATACCTATTCTAATTAATCTAGGTCTAATTTCAAATATATCCCCAAAATGCATTCTGTCTTAATTTCGACCCCCTTTTTTTGGCATTTTGTCCAACTTGGTCCATACATGATAAAAACATTCCGCGGAAGGTATAAAGTATAAACACACTTTTTTTCTTTTTTTCTTTTTCTGTCATGTTCATCAATTAAGCGAGAAAAGGGACAAAACATTTTGAAAGGTACACAAGAATACAACATTTGAACAACCAGAGAGGGGTTTAATAGGGAAATGTCAAGAATTTTCTGCCACAGGTTTTTCTTTGGGCCAAATCCCAATATTTGGTAATTATTGGCACAAAAGCTACAAATTCCTTGGAATGAGACCTAAAAGCTTTGTGTTTATGAGGTGAGATATAATCCCAAATTAAAGATTTTTTTGGATCATAATCCAGCCAGTCCAGCCCAGATTCAATGAGCAAATGGGTCAAATTCAGCCCATCAGAACTCATCTTCCCATGAAAAGTTTCACTTAGGTCGCTTAAGAGTGTATTTGGGCCGAGGCCCAAAATTAGAGGCTTATTATCTCTCCCTTTTTTTTTTCTTTTTTTCTTTTTTCTCTTTCATTTTTCCCTTTATCCTAATATTTTATCAGAACTCAGGTTTTGATTATTGAAAAGGGTGCGCAGAATATTTGTGAATATATGGTTTCAATTACAGGATAGAGAACAGGGGGTAAAGTGTCTGAATTATTAGGTTCTGAAGTATAAATATCAATGTCCCTACCACCTCAGCAGTGGTCTAGTCATTTGTCTTCTTAGTTGTTTGTGTTTGTATTAATTAGCCACTTTTTTCCTGTGTCTGGTCTGGCTCTTGGACACTTGCAGCTATTTGGTCCACGAAATCTTTGTCTATGTTCGTTCCTGTCTTGCACACTGTTTTTTACTCATTCGCATTGTTAGGTTTAAACCCTCTTGGAACCCCACTTCCACTTGTGTTCTTTCTCTCCCTTTTGCAAGCATGAAAAATAGCGAACTCATTAGCATTTTCATTTTTGTGATTCCTCGTCAAGTCTTGGTAGACACAGTCAGCTCTTTTTACAAGAATGAAAAGAGAATAATTATTTTTTATTATATAATTCATATAAAAAATAAAAATGATGCTATAAAAATAATTTTTTTGTCTTATTTTTTTATATAACTTTCATATGTTATTAAATTGGTTGATGTATTTAATATCATGGATCTCATATAAATTTAAAAAATTAATCATTTTAATGACATATTAAGTTGTACAAAAAAAATAAGGCAAAATGATTGCCCTAATAGTATTTCCCTTTGTTTTAATCTTTTTTTGGCCTTCTTGTGCATTTGATTCCGGCAAACTTTCATAAAGTGCTAGTAAGGCTTAGTGCCTACTAAGTAAAGTTACCTTATTGTATTTGATTTGTGTTATTAAAAAGATTTAAAAGATGGAAAAGTGCACACTCGACACAACTTAGTGAGTACAGTGGCAACACTTTATTTGAACCTAATTTATCATAGAAGAGAGAAATGGTTAGGAAAATTGGAGGGAAAAGGAAAAATCATAGACACATTTATTACCACATGTTAATCCAAGGAAAAGTCCCCTGCCTACTCGGCATTTTGCGAGGCATGATGATGAGAAGCTATGGAATTGCTGGGATCTTTCCTTGGATTAGCAAAAACTTTCTTGGCAACCTCAACACCCAAGACAAACCAAGCATGATTACACCAAACATTATGATACTGACAAAGTTCAAACTTGTATCACAAAAGGTTAAACCAACTCTCATCCATTTCAAGGAATTCCCGCATCCACCCCAAATCTAGAGGCTCCTCATTACAAAAATCAAGCAACGCATCCCCAAACAAGTTAGGTTTAGCCTCTAAATCTCCATTGGAGGTCCCCTCTTCAGGCTTTCTTGAAATGGCATCAAGATTATGCTCATTCAGTTTGGAATTCTTAGGCATGGACTCTTGTATTTCTGATGATCTCCCATTTTGCTTCTCATTTTGCTTTACTTTCTTGCTCAAATGAGAGTTCCAGTAGTTCTTGATTTCATTGTCTGTCCGACCGGGTAGTCTACCAGCAATCAAAGACCACCTGAATCACCATGAATCAAGTTATTTATATTTACTTAATACTACCATATGAGGGGAACAGGAAAATAAAAAGGAATTCATGTCATATACCTGTTTCCAAGGAGTTTATGGAGTCTAAGTATTAAGTCCTCTTCTTGGTCTGAAATGTTTCCTCTTTTTATGTTAGGTCTTAGATAGTTCATCCATCTAAGTCTGCAACTCTTCCCACATCTATTCAAACCTGAAAAAAGGATCAAGCCTTGACCATATAAATACCAAATAAAGCAAGTTTACATTAAGTTGAACCGATATCTACTAACTTTAAATCTTAATTTTCACTGCTGCTGAGGTCATACATAAGTTCCACCTTGTAACTTATTTGTGGATCAAAGGAGGAGAAAAATTCAAACCTGCTTTGGCTGCTATTATCTTCCACCTCTTTGGACCATGGATTTCAATGACTTTAGCAAGTTTTTGATCTTCTTCAGCCGTCCATGCTCCTCTATTCGCTTCTTTCTTGGTGCATTTACTGCTTATTGGAGTCATCGGCATCTTCCTTTCTCTGTTCCTCTATGTTCAAGCCAAACTCTTGAATTCTAAGGGCAAACTGAAGAGAAAGGGTTAGGAGGTTAAGGGTTGAAAGAGGTGGGATATATATAAATGGGCTAGGGAGGCCTGAGGCCAGCTTTCCTAGCTACCTTTCTTTGGGAAGGAAAAATGAACCTCAACTACCTACTAAAAATGAAACACAAAACCACAATCTGATTTGATGGTTGAAGAATGGAGAGAATCTGTTGCATGTTAAAAAATTATATCCAGAATGAAACTCATTGGCTGGTAATTTTTTTTCTATCCAAGAATCGAAAACCATAAAGACCAATATGTGCAATCATGCCAGCAGGATAGACCCCCACTTTTACATATAAAATAAACAAAAATTCAGTGCAGAATTTCATCTGTTTTGCATGTGATGTTCTGATGATATTTACTAGTCAAGAATCGGAATCAGGAATATATGATGATAAGAGAACTGAAGTGAACAGATTGAAAACAACAAGAGCATCAAATTAGCACGGAAGAAAACAACAGTCAAAACCATCACTTCCATGGGAGGCTTGCAGAGAATATCCAAGTACTCTTCGCAAGCGAGAAACATAAATTACGGATTAGGGAATTTTGTTGTTCGTTTGAGGAATGTAAAAAATATGCTCTATGCTTGTGAGCACATGATACGCCAGCTGAATGCCTCCAATATGCATTTGTCGCCAAATTCTTGCCTTTTTTTTTTTCTTTTAATTGAAAATTGTGATTTAACTACTTGTAATACGAGACAAATGCATATAAAAGATTTGTAGTTTTGAGTTTGCATAAATAAAAAATTAAAATATCAAAATGTACACATATATACTTAAAGTTTACATATGGCACAAATAATTACCTAAAATTTCTTAAAGACCCATAACTTAATTATATATATGAGTTTAGAGAAATGAAGGGAAGGGGAAAGGAATTGTAAATAAATAAAAAAAATTCTTCCATTCCACTCATTTGAATAAGTATATAAATTTATAAAAAATGAAGAAAAATTTTCTCCACTCCTCCAATTTTTTTGATAACCAAATAAACAAATTTTTTTTCTCTCTCTATTTTCCTTAACTTAAACATACTATAAAAGAGTGAAATAAAAAAAAAATAAGGGCATTTAAATTAATTTAACGTAATTTCAAGTCATTATGTGTACTTAATACAAACTTCAAGGCTTTATTTATACCTCTTGAAATTTTTGACATTTACATGCATTCATTTCAAACTACAAATATATTATATACACATTTGCTTTATACACTCAATGATAGTTTATACAATAAAAATAATGCTTTCTTTTATTTTTTTAACAATTTTAATAGTTCAAACTCTTAACTATTAAAATATTACACAAAGGGTAAGAACCTATGCCTAATGATGCTATTTTATTCTGTGGTATTTTGTCTGGAGAATAAGTTGCTCGGTTGGAATATTGGGGCCGGTAACTCCATGGCCTCTTCTTCGTTTGGCTTGGCAGAGGACAGATTGACAGAGATCCACTTGAGACCTTTTATGAATATACGTAATGTGTTTGTGTCTCATTTTTCTTGTAAAAGAGAATATTGTTTAATAAAATTCCGAGGAACTTAACCTTTTCTAAGAAAATTTTGTTAAATCCCCCTTTTGGATTTGTTCTTGTAGTCAAATTAATACTATTTTGAATTAATTTGTAGTATGTGCTAAATTAAATCTACAGTAATGCCAGTATTTACTAAGTTGAAAAGCACAACCCCATTCTCCACCATCATTATTTGGAGTGTGTTCACCAGAAACTGACAGTTTCTCTTTTAAATTTATGCCCTATGAGAACTTAAAAGCATCATAGCAATCATAGAAATTGTAGTTTGGAAAGGATTATTTTATTAGGTGGTGTTATAGAGATAACTTTTTTGTCTCACTTTTTTATACAACTTTTATATGTCATTAAATAAATGAATGTATTTAATATTACGGGTTTCACATAAATTAAAAAAATTAATTATTTTAATGACACATCACACTATACAAAAATGTGAAACAAAAAAATTATACAACAAACATTTCCTTATTTTATTTTACTCTATAATCATGCTTGTGAAAAACAGATCCTAATTATGTTACAACATTTCCTATAACTGTGAATCAAAAATTTTATTCAGTTGGCTTACTATTATTATTACTACTATTTAGGGTGAAGCTCCTCATTTCACAGCTACATTTTATCTGACCAAAATTATTCAGTTATCACATTGGGGGTAACTTTCTGGGGCAATGATGCTCAGATCCATTTCTTCTGCATGTTGAGCAATTATCTAGTTTAGTGAAAAGTTCAATATTGCTATTCAAGCTGAAGATGGGATTAGCCTTCTAAATGTGGAGGTTGGCCTCCAAACTGTTATTAATTCGTGTTTTGCAGTTAAGTACAATGTTTTTTTCCTTTTTTAAACAGAGGTAAAGCAATAAATGAAAGGCTTTGAAGCAATCTTCACATTCAAACTGTTACCCATTAACAGGTAAACTCCATGTGATATTCTGATCTCCCGAGGCACACTGTCGGTAACTTGTAAGCTTTAAAATCCCTGGCCAGTGGCTTGTACTCGTGTTTCTTGGCCGTCCATGGAAATATGGAATGGCTTCTTTCTTTTCTTTTCTTTTCTTTTTATTTTATTTTTCATAATAATTGATATATATATATATATATTTATATGAATTGATATATATTATAATTTAACACATTATAAAAAAGATTTATTAAATTTTTTTATCTAAAATTAAATATAAATAAATTTAAAAATACAATCATATTATAAGATGTAAAAACTAGTTAAATTTTTTTATCAACACAAGAAGCAATTAAATTAATTGAATTGATACTATATTTTTATAATTCAATCAAAATAAATATTATAAAATATATTAAAATAAATATACACTAATAATTTTTTTAAAAATTTTTTTATACCTATAGTTAGCTGGTTGTATGTGATTACTGTTTAAATTAAATTCTTATCTCAAAGGTCACAATAGTACTGTTTGGACCCGCTATTTCCTTGAAGATGGTAAAAGGAGCCCAATTCCAATGAAAGTTTATGGAGCCTGGGCTTCATGTAAGCACATCTTCACTGGGCTTAGGCCAACAATCCAATGAAGACAAAGGCCCAATAAAATCCAAAGAAACTTTGGTGGGGCATATAAAAGTTGGGCCTGTAGAAATCCTAGAGACAGGTCATTAGGATGTAAGGACGCAGATAAGAGTGTGCATCACCATCAGCATCGTTTTCTCTGGTAAGACTGAAGAGTGCACCTAGACAGTGTTCATTATCCAGGTACAAAGTCTATACCATAGTCAAGAGCTCAATAAGTACCAGCCTTTTTGACCAAACAGTTCATGTTCTGGACTTAAACGCTTGATGAAACCAAAAACTTTAGCACCCAGTGGAGGGTAGTACATGATCAAGCATAAAACAGAAGGGTTAGAAAGTTGTCCCTGAAGTTTAGTTGCAAGTTAACCTGAATTTCAGAAAAACAGTATTTCAATCTCCAGTTATGTCAAGCTTAGACATATCTAAGCTTTGAACAGCTAAAAATGGAATGTAAGTTTATAGAGATCAGATTACACTTCAAAGATATGGACTGAAAATTTACTACAGGTTGGGAATGACTCCAACATGACTTGGTATAAGAAAACAGTCGTACTTTTCATCTCTGCTATATCCTATATGTATTTCTGAGTCCTGATGTTACATAAAATTGAACAGGTAACGAAGTAGGGGAATAAGCATCCTTATGCTTGACTATTCATATCATGATCCTGAGACTATTATCTCCAGGAACGATGCAGATTGCGATACAGATTAAATCAACGAGTATCAAGGGAATTTTGGTTAGAATGATCAGTGTATCATACAGGCTCTGAACATATATAGCATATATATGAGAGAAAAAGAAGATGAGAATCAAATTTTCATTATGTGACAATACAAATTGTATTAGCAAATCCAGAATATATCATTCCTGTAGACTTTTTAGAAGATCAAAAGGGAATATGATGGAGAGGATTGAAACCCAATATTATCTTATACATAATGCAAGTTCCATTCAAGGGAGCTGCACCAGAGATTGGTATCAAAAAGGCTATCTGCAATAGAATGTGTAAAAATAACTGGACAGCAAAATTTCTAGTGAGATATAATAAGCTTAGAAGGCCCTCTTACATAGTCAAGACACTATGGAATCAAATCATGTGTTTGGGTGACAAAGTCTTGAATTTTATCCATTAAAATCATATCGAAGTAACACTTTCATGGAAAGTTAATGGGCATTTTTTTTTCCATTTCTTGTCGGATTCAAACCAATCTGGTTACTGTTGAAAACGTCGATCACTCCATCTCTGGATAAATGGATCAAAATCAGAGTCGTATCATAAAATACAAACGCAATATCAAGCCCCTTAAAATGAAGTGATTACAGAACATCCTTGACCTATATAAACAGTTGAGTTGTAGTAAACGACAACTAGTTAATTGAAATGAAAATCAGAGTTAACACCATTAATCAAAAGAAAGTAAACACATTGTTTATGGGTAGAAAATTGTATTTTGCCTTCTTGAATTTTCTCTGTATTTCTTATACACGCAAGAAAGAGAGAAATTAGATATTACAAGATTTGTTGCGGCTATTCAACCTTAACCATGATGTCTAAATTGGAAGGCATTAGGCATCACCATATCTTAACAACCCTACGAAATCCTTTTGGTCAAAAAAAAGAGATCTATCCATTTTAGAGCTCTCTAAGATGCAAAAATACTATAGTTACAATATTACATAATATTGTAAATTTATAATAAGATTTGTCATTATTTAATTGATTTTTTTTATTAAAAGATTTACTTATAATATCGTATATATCTACTCATTTAATACCATATTATATTTATTTAATATTATATCATAAGAAATCAGTGCTTATTCGTCTTATCTTCAAAAAATTAAGGAAAAAAAAAGGAATAAAAATCACTTTAATGTATGCTTTAAAAATATGGTAATTTAGTCTTCTTCAA